CCGGCACGCCGTCACCACCACCCTTACTTTGGCCTCCTGTCCGCGGGGACGGCCCCTTTTTTCTTTGATCATGACTCTAAAATGATTTTTGCAATTTAAAAAAGTGTGTTGTGTTTATTGACTCACTGCCCGAACCCCCATCTGCGCTGTCCTTCCGTCCACCTTGCCAGGCCCTCCGTCTGTGTCCTGCTGACCCGGACCCCCCCCCGCCTGCCCATTGGGGGGACGACCGCTTTTACACTGCTGGCCCCTTGCATCATTCCCCCCGTCCCTCAGGTATGCCACCAGGGGCAGACTCACCGGGACGCCTCTTGCCGCTCTCCCTGCCTAGCGGCCATCATGTCATGCTGGATTCCGCTGTCCTTTGTGCTTTCCCGCCCTCACGCCTTATGGCAGGGGGTGCTCTTCCTGTGCGGCCTCATCCTGGCCTCCCACCTTGCCTGACCGGCGCTGAGTCGAACATACGGCGCCAACCGCCCTCCAACTCCTGCCTGCTTTCCACCTCATTTTCAGCCTTCCCCTTGCCGCCTCCTGACAGGCTCTTGGGCCGCCGAACTAACGATGTCACTCCCAGGCTGCCGCTGGGACGGCCTCGCTCTCCTTGCTGGCCTCCGTTCCATCGCCGCGTGGGGGGGGGTAGCAGACGTGCTTGGGGGCCCCCCAGCTGCTCCTGCAGCCACCAGCCATGATTCTGCCACAACCTTTGTGACCAGGATGGTGGCTTGCTTGGAGTTCTGTCTGAGGCTGATGGGAGTGAGCATGCAGCAGCAGCTCACTCCATCCTCTCCTGTAACTCCATGCTGCCTCTGTTCTTCTATGCTGCCTCCATGCTACTGATGGGAGTGAGCATGCAGCAGCAGCTCACTCCAGCCTCTCCTGTACCTCCATGCTGCCTCTGTTCTTCTATGCTGCCTCCATGCTGCTGCCTTCTCCCTCCAGGGCAGGCAGCTTTCACAACTGACAGGTAAGCTTAGGTTCAGTTAAAATGGCCACTTCATATAATGGCTGGTATAACTACGCCCTACCCAGCATGCTAGCTGTCACTAACTTCCTGTGGCTGCTATGCCTACCTCCTGGCTCTGTCAAGGCCTATTCCTCTTAGCTGCGCTGATCCATGGGCTACAATACTTTTGTGCGGCAGCAATGGTTAGTATTCACCAAGCTTAGATTTATAGGCATACCTTAAAAATTTACCTGCACATTTTCCAAAATCATATATAATTTAACCCCTTAGTGACCAGACCATTTTTTTATTTTTTTAAAATATGCTGGCGCAGTAAAAGCTAAAAAAACAACAACTCAGGAACAGTAAATGTAACCCCCCAAAAAACTTAAGGGCACATGTAAAAGAAAAAAATAAATAAAATGGACCAGTGTGTGATATCGCTTGAAGCAGTCCCCAATGCAGAGTCCAGGGCAATTAGGACAGTAAAAGACGGTGTCCTTTCACTGCCCCCTCTTGAAACAGACTCTGCATCTTTTTTGAGGATTCTGCTTTGCTGCAGTAGGAGGGGGGATTTTAAAAATAAAGTGGGTAGCCCCACCTCTGCTCTCTCCCATCACCGCCCAGGGAGCAGGTAAATCTTGGCACAAAATCCACGAAAAGATCTGGAACAGTAAAAAAAGTCAGTCTCTTACCGGGGTTTGCTTTTTTGAACAACAAAAAAGCGTTGTGGGTTGCAATATGCATTAAGTACATTTTTGTACCAGGCCCTTGTCTTCCGTATAATTAGGTAGGGCTGCAGCAGCTGATCTGCCAGATCAACCCCACCCACATGGCAGTTATAGGCCTTGATGCACGCTGGCCTCCTTGTGCTCTCAGATTAAAAAATAAGTGAAAAATAAAAATGGTGTAAATTTGTCAGCAAAGCAATCTATACACACAATTACTGTGTTATGGTACATATATTTGCTAGCTATGCTTTAAATACATTTTATGCTAATATAACATATTTTCAATGAAAAAAGTGACATGAAGTGGTTGGGTTAAACAATCCTTAAGACTGATAAAAAATTACATCATTTGGAAAAAAAATGCTATAAACTAGAGTAGTGTAAAAGTATTAAAACGAGCAAGAAAATGACACAATTTAAATACAAATGATAGCATCACTTAAAAAAAATACTACGAGAGCATGTGTAGTGATATATGGTAATAAAAATATACAAACATATAGAAATTAACTCCTTTCCAACGTTAGGGCATGCAATGTCATCCTAAATTGAAATTTCACCATTTGTGGGTTTGATTCATGCAAACGGCCGCCAGGGAGCTAGCGTTCATTTCCATTTGAATGAAGGGAAATTGCCGAACCAGGGGCACCCAGGGAAAGCTACTGATGGCGGCTGGGCAGGGTAACAACTGAATGTTGTCTCCGACCTGGACCATAGTGAGTGGGCAGGAGGACAGCTTCCACACTCCTCCAGGGGTTTGTGGCAAATGTTTGTAAGAAGGAGCATTTGTCACAGGAGTGATGGAGAGAAAGGCTGTAGATATTCAGTGGAGAGATTGCAGGAATGGGCAAGGTATACGGTAGGAGAAAATAAGACTATTAACTTCACTACTGAGAAATAACATTTTTATTTCCATGTCTTTTGCAGCATTAAATTAAGTCCACAAACCCTTGCTCATCCTCATTTATACTCTATGTATGATTGCCAGCCTGTAGAGGAATGAATTTCACTGACAGAATCCACTAGTCAGTGATATAAAGCCTGCTTCTAAACAGTACATGAAGTTTTAGTTGGTCATATCATTACTACAGTCAGGAAGCAGGGGAGGGGGGTAAATGGCCTCTGTCAGCACTACATTGGCATTGCAGAGACTGATCAAGACTGCTTTAGCAGTTTTCAATGCCTTTATTTTATAAATATGTGGTTTAACTATATTTAGTGTTTGTGGACATATATAACCTTCAGGGTACCTATATGCAATGTATTTGACGATCTTTGTTTATTTTTGTCTCACTTACTGTATGCTTGAAAAATTGCATTGTTGCTTTTTTGTTATCTCAGATCTTATGTGAAATATTGCAAAATAAATGACACTATATACTGTCCAAAGCTTATTAGTTTCAAAATATTTTTTATAAGGAATTAAAAAATAAGTGAAAAATAAAAATGGTGTAAATTTGTCAGCAAAGCAATCTATACACACAATTACTGTGTTATGGTACATATATTTGCTAGCTATGCTTTAAATACATTTTATGCTAATATAACATATTTTCAATGAAAAAAGTGACATGAAGTGGTTGGGTTAAACAATCCTTTAGACTGATAAAAAATTACATCATTTGGAAAAAAAATGCTATAAACTAGAGTAGTGTAAAAGTATTAAAACGAGCAAGAAAATGACACAATTTAAATACAAATGATAGCATCACTTAAAAAAAATACTACGAGAGCATGTGTAGTGATATATGGTAATAAAAATATACAAACATATAGAAATTAACTCCTTTCCAACGTTAGGGCATGCAATGTCATCCTAAATTGAAATTTCACTATGAAATGATGCACATATGGAGTTCAACACCTCTGCTGCCAGAGGTGTAACTACATCTTCTGTGGCTATACTGGGGCATCATTATTTGGCCCAGAACAAGAGTTCCAGGCTGGCTAATGTACAATATGCGAATATTCCTATGCACAGAAACACATTGATCAGCTGATGTTCTCAGGCAATCAATGAGTGGTAGCATAGGCTTCAGCAGAGCCTGCTTGAAGGTGACCAGGAGTCAGACAGGACCCCGGTAAGAGGGCAAACTGTTGCCATACGGTTTGCAATATTACTGGGGAAAAAGGCCAGGACCCTGCTTATATCATAACAACTACAGTTAGCTGTAGTACTCACGATTCACCAAAATAAGGATGGCATGCATGCTTATATCATTAAAAAAATGTGCATCCACTAGATAAGAAAAAATGTGAAAATGAGTTTACAATTTTGAAAGTGAATCTAACTTGGCTAATAAGTGGTGCTAAATAGTAAACCCTCTCTTTATGAAATCAGACTTTAATAAATAATTCATTTTTATGTTTGTGTTAATATTAATATTATTATTTTATTCTGTAGTGCTGTACAATGGGGGTGGACTAACAGACACGTAAGTGTAACCAGACAAGTGGACGCAGAGGAACAGAAGGGCTGAGGGCCCTGCTCAATAAGCATACATGCTAGAGAGAGTGGGATATAGTAATGCAAATGGTAAAAGTAGGGGTAACAAAGTAGGTTGCAAGAAAAGTATTCACTGAGGGCTTAGTATGTTATTTTTGACAGTTGCAGAAGAGAAGTCAGGGTGTGGTGATGAAATCCTGCTAATGGTTTAAATGATACGCTTTCCTGAAGAAGTAAGTTTTCAATAAATTTTTGAAGGAATAGAGACTGGGTGAAAGTCTATCGGAGAAAGGAAGGGAGGTCGACAGAAAAGATGCAGCCCTGGAGATGTCTTGAAGGTGAGCACTAGAGGTGGGAGTATGAACAGAGGATAGACATAGGTCTTCAGCAGAGCCCGGGGTCCTAGACATGACATACATATGTATTAGGGAGGATAGGTAGATTGGAGCAGCATTATGTAGGGATTTGTAAGCAAGCACCAGAATCTAAAATTTGAGACAGACAGACCCGGGAGTAGCACTTGAGGGAGGAAAGACCAGAAGTTCTGGTGAGCAGCCATCCAGTTGGAAATTGCAGAGAGGAAGTCAGAGACACAAGTCAAGATGGGTGGAGAGAGATCAGGAGAGGAAAAGTAGATATGCGTGTCATCTGCATATAAATGATAATGGAAGGCAAAGGAGCAGATGAGTTTACCAACGGATCAAAGACAAGCTTCCCCAATATAAATGTTGTTATTGTTAGATTTAGGAACTGACTTGATTTCATACTTAAAAGGGCCGAACATTGGGTGGTATAGAACTGTATTTTAATTATCATGTGAGCAAGAAGAAGAACAATTACATCTAATTAGTGATGTCGCGAACCGTTTGTGGCGAACTCCGGTCAGCTGACACATCCCTGCCAATCTCCGGCAGACCCTCCCTCCCAGAACCTCCTGCTTCCTGGACAGCATCCATGTTGAAGGCAGATTCAACATGGATGCTGTCCAGGAAGTAGGAGGGTCTGGGAGGGAGGGTCTGCCGGAGATTGGCAGGGATGTGTCAGCTGACCGGAGTTCGCCGCGAACGGTTGCCTTCAACATGGATGTTGTCCAGGAAGTAGGAGGGTCTGGGAGGGAGGGTCTGCCGGAGATTGGCAGGGATGTGTCAGCTGACTGGAGTTCGCCACGAACGGTTCGAGGCGAACCGCGGCAAACCGTTCGCGACAAGTTCGCGAACGGTTCGCGACATCACTACATCTAATCAGTGGAAATTAAGTGGGTTACTCAACAATTGAAATTGGTTGGCTGAATACTACTTTAATGAAGAGGGAACGATATGCAGATACTGAATCCAAGCCATGTGTTGTTGATACCTAGAAAGTTTATGATTATAGTAATCTGTAAGTCAAGAAAAAATATTTGCCCTGTATAGTACTTAATAGAGCTGTGGTTATAGATATCATGTGGGGTGGAAAATGTAGTTTATAAGAGAATATTACAATGTCATAAATAATTCACAAATATGTATCTAGTGTATGAAACACCAGCAATAAATCTGCCTACTATGAGTTATCATCATCTCTGTGGAGGATGGAACTCTAAGAATCCTGAAAAGTGAGCAAAAATTAAGTGATCAACCCTCAAGAGACTCCAGTTTTGTTAATATATTTATGTTTCTTAACAAATGCTGACTTCTTTACCTGCACAGGGTTAAGTGCTCAGCACACACTAAAGTCAACTCATGTAATGAAAGTGTCCATTATCAAATTGCCACCTTATAACGTGACTTTTAGTTTCAAACTACCAAACAAAATCTTCATCTACGTCAACTAATTTTTACTGCAGTTGCTGACTCAAAGTATATGAAAGAGTTTTACACCAAGCCAGACACAAAATGCTGAGGTGGCTTATATATGATTTATTCAATCTATTTCTTTCTGCAGTGACTGGGTCAAATAATATTGGGGTTGTCATAAAAAATATGAAAGTCATTAATACTTTCACCCTGCATGGGACCGCAAGTCTCATATCTTAGAATTATCCCCGAGCCGCCTACTAGAAAAACTGAGTGAGAACGAATTGAATAGGGTGTGCACAGTATCAAAACCAGTCGTAGCTCAGATTTAGCAAACACACAATTATGCATTAGAGCAGAATTTTTCACATAGCTACCCATTGAAATTAAATTTAGTTCGGGCAATAACACGTATGTCAACTTGGAAAAAATATGCAAGATTATATTTTTAACGACCCTTCCCCAAGAAATCAAATTTTAATGGAAAAATGTATGGCTTTTTTTCCCCACTAACATTGACATTCCTCTGAAGTGTTTGACACAGGAGAAAAAAACCCTCAGAACAGAAGAATGGATTTTCAGCTGGGAAATCAATACACATTTTGTTTTTCACAGGATTAATTGAAGCATTCATTGCTTTAGTACTTGTATTTATTTTTCACTAATAATAAAAATAATAAGCATTCTATCATACTTTAATAACAGCGATTTGGAGATGTCAGCAGCATTCTGCTAAACTACTGCAGAAATAGATAATCTTTTTGCACTCTGGCCATTATGAATAAAAGATAAAAGTAGTTTCTAGCACTTACAATGTTCAAATGTGAAAGGTAGCTGTTACCCCCAAACCAGTCTCTCTTGTCTGGTCATTGATATGGAGTAGAGGAGATGAAAAACTGTGAGAAGCGTCTTGGAGGGGTCCTTAAATTCCAAGTAACATGTAGTGGGAAAAGAGAGGAGAAATATATGGTGCAGTATGTCAAACAGGGCCGTCTTTAACAAGGGGCAAACGGGGCAGCTGCCCCGGGCCCAGTTGCTCCTGGGGGGCCCAGAGCAGCTGCCCTGTGGGCCCCCTGCCCGCAGCCAGGACTGAACAGCCCACCGGGATACTGAGAAATATCCCAGTGGGCTGCGGCAAGTGAAGTAATCAGGGCCCCCCGGCCCTTTAATTGAGCACCCGATCGGGCCCCTGTCTGTATGCCTGCTGGGAGGAAGTGAGGTGAGATCACTTCCTCCCAAGTAACAGAGTGCCGCTGGGGAGGAGGAGACACACATGGAAGTGGAGGAGAGGGAGGACGCACACACAGGAGGAGGAGGTGAAGGAGAGGGACTGAGGTAAACATGTTCATCAGACTCCCATCAACCTCAGCCATCCAGCTTCCACTGGACCCCAGGGAAGCCACCCTTCTCTAAAGGTAAGGAGACAAGAGGGTGGCTAGACTTAAATTGATATAAATGTGTGTATATCTGACTGTATGTGTATATCTGACTATGTATGTGTGTATCTGACTATGTATGTGTGTATCTGACTATGTATGTGTATATCTGACTATGTATGTGTATGTCTGACTGTATGTGTGTATATCTGACTGTATGTGTATATCTGACTATGTATGTGTGTATCTGACTATGTATGTGTATATCTGACTATGTATGTGTATGTCTGACTGTATGTGTGTATATCTGACTGTATGTGTGTATCTGACTATGTATGTGTGTATCTGACTGTATGTGTGTATCTGACTATGTGTGTATATCTGACTGTGTGTGTATATCTGACTATGTGTGTGTATCTGACTATGTGTGTGTATCTGACTGTGTGTGTGTATCTGACTATGTGTGTGTATCTGACTGTGTGTGTGTATCTGACTATGTGTGTGTATCTGACTGTATGTGTGTATCTGACTATGTGTGTGTATCTGACTATGTATTTGTGTATCTGACTATGTATGTGTGTATCTGACTATGTGTGTGTATCTGACTATGTGTGTATATCTGACTGTATGTGTGTATCTGACTATGTGTGTGTGTGTATCTGACTATGTGTGTATATCTGACTGTATGTGTGTATCTGACTGTGTGTGTGTGTGTATCTGACTATGTATGTGTGTATCTGACTATGTGTGTATATCTGACTGTATATGTGTATCTGACTATGTGTGTGTGTGTATCTGACTATGTATGTGTGTATCTGACTATGTGTGTGTATCTGACTGTATATGTGTATCTGACTGTGTGTGTGTGTATCTGACTATGCGTGTGTATCTGACTTTATGCGTGTGTATCTGTATGTGTGTGCGTTTGTATCTGGCTGTATGTGTGTATCTGGCTGTGTGAGTGTCAGTGTGTGTGTATCTGGCTGTGTTTGTGTCAGTGTATGTGTACCTTTGTGTCAGTGTTTATGTGTATCTATGTGGATGTATACCTGTGTCCGTGTACTTGTGTGTCAGTTTGTATGTGTACCTGCGTGTCTGTGTATGTATATGAGTGTCAGGTTGTGCAAGTGTGTATCTATGCGTGTGGCAATGCATACATTCCATCATTCCAGTACCAACACTGCACACATATACACTACTACATTCCAACGCTAACACTGCACACAAATACACCACTCTATGTGTATCTGTGTTCCTGTGTGTATCTCAGTGTTTGTGTAAGTGTGCATCTGTGTGGCAATGCATACATCCCAGCATTCCTTTGCCAACACTGCACACAAATACACCCCTGCATGTGTACCCGTGTGTCTGTGTGCATCTTAATGTGTGTCTATATCTGTGTCAGTGTGTGTAAGTGTGTATCTCTGTGTGTGGATGTGCCAGTGTTTTTATCTTTGTATCTGTGTGTGTGTGTGTATGTATGTATGTGTCTGTGTGTGTATACGCCAGTCTGTTTGTATCAGTCTGTGCATGTGTCCAGATGTGTGCATGTATCAGTGTGCTAATGTGTATGGATATCTGTGAATGTATGTCATACATCCAAGCAATCAAACACAACATGCAAACACACCCCTGCAAACACAAACATTACATACAAACACGCCCCTGAATTCAAACTCAAAAAGTATATAGAAACACACCCCTTCACTCTAACACCAATACTACACCGTGCATGCACACACATACTCTATACAACAACATGCTCACATTCAAATTTACAAACACTGCTCACAAATACAGCCCTGCAAGAATGACCAAATGGTAGATCCCCAACTGGCATAGCATCGTGGGAATTGTACAACAGATGAGGATCTATCTTTTCTCCATTATTGTGCTAGATGGGAGGCCCAAAAAAATGTCTTGCACCTGGGCCTTCTCTACATTAGTTATGTCACTGTTTTGGGGTGGAGGGCATGACTGCATGCCAGGGGGTGGAAATGTGTGGAGGGGAAGGGCAGGATCCAGGGGGCCCAAGCAAATGCTTGCCCAGGGTCCAATCAATGTTGAAGACAGCCCTGATGTCAAATTTCCAAATTAAAAACAGAAGAATACACTTACAGTGTAGAGAGCTAGCTCTTAGCTCTAGATGTAGCACCTGGGCAGTATAATTCCCGCATATGCATATAATGATTAAATCTTGGTCCGACCGAATCAGGTATGTATATGTAACAAACACAAGATCAAAAAATTGTGCAATATGTGCAATTAAATAAAAAAATAAATAAATAGTATAAAAATGAACACTCACATTTGTTAGCGCTTTCTAATGGCTCCTTGCATATGGCCTGGAGTGGCATAATCCCCACTCTTGGGATATAGGTACAGACTTCTTTCTTTCTATGGGTGGATTTTGTGCTCACATGTAAACATAAGAGGAAAAAAAATTGTGTAATATTTCCTACTTGATTTTATTAAGTTCAGAACATATGTGGAGGACCTGTCTCCAAGTGCTCAAGCAGGGACTGCTTCGTAGGTTACACTCAAAATCTTATTTTATGCACAACTTTCACACTTCACCATAGACTGCAGAGCCTTTCACTCTTGACCCTGAGGTATCAAAACATTGTGCCTATATTAGAGGTTCAACATGTAAACAGCAGATGATGGAATTGGGGGGGGGGGGAAGCCACATGGAGAATAAAGATAATATAAATGTTTTATTCCTTACAAAAAACAATAAAACTATGTAAAATCTCAAACCGGCAGTTTCCCTCTGAGATGCATTTTGCTTATACCTTAAAGCTTTATTAATTACCATGCTGCTTGTCTTTTAATGTCCCAGCTTTTGTTTACTGAGTCGTCAAGTGGGTCATTCTGTTTGGCAAATGGTAAATCTTTAGCGGCGATCTCATCAAGAAATCAAGAATACCATCAGCTAATCCTTCCTGAAAAGCCATGAGCATCAAAAGTCCTTTTAAAACCAACAAGGAATTAAGGGTCATTATGGAAAATAGGTGAATTTAACTCTCACAAGGGATTGACCCAAGCAAGTGCTTTGTCTGCTAAATTATTAATCAAAAACACTATCTTTGCTCTATCAGTAGGAATGGAACATGGGTTTAACTCAAAATGAATGGTAACTTGGTTTAAAAAACTATGGCAATTCATAGGATCTCTACAATATAGCTGTGGAGAGGTCATATGACCAGGAGGGTCATATGTTGACCTGTTGGCCGGCTGCACAATCCCTCTAGCCCAGGTGCAAAACAAGAAAGCTAGGCTAGGCCAGTAAATCAATACACTTAACATGTTTTTCCCTGGACAGACTTTCTTAAAAGTGGTAAAACACTTTTGAGAAAGCCTGTCCAAAGAGGAACGCTTTGAGTGTACTGTTATACTGTTCGATATAATTATTTTACTTTTTATCTTTGATTTTATTGTTTTTTTTTTTTAAATAAAAAGTTTTTTTTTGTTTTTTTTATTGTACCTGATTTTCTGCTGCTGAGCAATATATCCTTGGTTGGAATAATACCACCCAAGCCAGTTAGATACCTCATTTTGCTCTGAAGCATGTGAGTAGGTTTTTATCACTTTTACTGTGATTTTATGATACAAACTATTGTGTTTTTTATTTCTCTTTTATATATTCAAGGAGAAATATCCACATCACCTACAGTGGCGTACACATGACCCATGGGGCCCCGGTGCGAAAATTGATCCATGGGCCCCCCCCCCCCAACTTACTCGGTGCGGGTTGGGGCCGCAACACATGGCGGCGGGCACCTGGTCGCAGGGCTGCGACCCTGCGACCGCGGTATGCACACACACTTAAAGGACCACTACAGACACCCAGATCTCATCAGCTCAATGAAGTGGTCTGGGTGCCAGGTCCCTCTAGTTTTAACCCTGCAGCTGAAAACATAGCAGTTTCAGAGAAACGGCTATGTTTCACTGAGGGTTAGTCCAGCCTCTGGTGGCTGTCTCATTGACAGCTGCTAGAGGAGCTTCTGCGATTCTCACTGTGAAAATCACAGTGAGAAGACACTGAACGTGCATAGGAAAGCATTGAGTAATGCTTTCCTATGGGCGGTTTAAATGCACGCGCGCGCCTCTTGCTGCGCATGTGCATTCGGAGCTGAGAGGCAGAGGGATCCCCAGCGCCAAGGGAGTCCGACGCTGGAGAAAGGTAAATGCTGAAGACACACACACTCTCACGAACAGACGCATACACACTAGCTAACAGACACACACATTTACTGACAGAGACACACTCAGCGACAGACATACATACACACTCACTTACAAAACATACACTTTCACTGACAAACACACACTCACTAATAGACATCAAAAACACTCAGTAACAGACACACACAGTAACACACTCACTAGCAGACACACACCCAATAACAGACACACTCACTGACACAAACACTAACACAAACAAACACACACACACTAACACACAAACACACACACACTAACACACAAACACACACACACTAACACAAACAAACACACACACTAACACTAACACACAAACACACACACACTAACACACAAACACACACACTAATACACACACACACTAACACACACACTAACACAAACAAACACACACACTAACACACACACACTAACACACAAACACACACACACACACTAACACACACACAAACACTTTTTTTTTTTTATTTAATCCCCCCAGCCTCCTTACCTTTTGGAGTGCTGGGGGGATTCCCTGGGGTCCAGTGGTGGTGCTGCTGGGCTCCTGGGGCTCCTGGGTGGCCGACACGCGAGGGAGCACTCTGCTCTGAGTGCTTCCTCTTCAGCTCCGGTATCCATTCGGTGCGCGAGGGAGCTGAAGAGGAAGCACGCAGAGCAGAGTGCTCCCTCGCGCGCCCTCCCGTCTGCCTGCCCGGGCCCCCAGGAGAAGAGGCTGGCCCTGTGGGTACATACCGGGTCGCAGGGGCGGCCGGGCCCCCTGGTGGGCCGGGCCCGGTCGCAGCCGTGACCCCTGCGACCCTGGTATGTACGCCACTGATCACCTATATCCTGGATTGGGGATCAAATCGGTTGAAATATTACTTCTGGAACCAATACTTAGGCTTCATAATATGTGAGTGTGCACCTATCTACATACCTACCCCTGCTCTACATACTACACTATATACACTTTTATTTTATCTTCTATTTTTATGAGGATACCCATCGCTATAAGTAAAACTTGAATAATCTGTACAACAATATATCCATAGGTGGGGATAATTTCGCCCAGGCATGCAAGTCGGAGCTGTCTTAAAGTGTGAGTGTACAATTTTTAATTTTTCTTACTCTATTAAGATGTTTTTAACTTACTACACTATGTCCTTTTTGTTTTTCCTTTGTTTTTAGTACATACATTTCCTAAAGGACAGTTCAAGCGCTACACCTTCTTTTCCTGTCTTAACGTATAGTCAGACAGATAGCCGAGTTCAAGGGTAGGAGAAAGCAGAGTAAATGTTAGACAAGCCAAATATCCAGAACACAGAGAATAGAATAAATGGTTAACAAGCCAAGATCAGTAACAGGAGATCAAAGTATTCACAAATGCACTATTAGGCTAAACAAGAACCACAACAGGGTGCTTGGGATAAGAAAGGCCAAGGTTTAAATAGCCATAGCTTAAATTTGATAGGTCATACAAGAATGCTACAAAACGCAAGTCTGCTGAATTGACGAATTTGGATCTTTTGCAATACTGTTCACTCCTGCTGAATCAATGCATCTCTATGAAGACGTTTAGTATCTCCATGCAAAGGGTGAAGACACTGGATGTGCAGCACTTCCCCAGGAAGCACCTCAAGTGACTTTGAGGAGTGGCCACTGGAGGTGTCCCTTGGCTGCAATGTAAACACTGCCTTTTTCCCTGAAAACACAGTGTTTACTGCAAAAAGTCTTTAGGGACTCATTATACTCACCAGAACAAATACAATAAGCAGTAGTTATTCTGGTGACTAAAGTGCCCCTTTAATTTCTTTCTTCTCCCTCCACCAACTGTAGAGATATGGTTACTGTAAGGGCTTACCTTGGTTGGAGTCCGTAGTGCAGAGATGTTTGCTCACCGTTGCAGATAATCA